TATTAAATCAATGTCATCAACAATTTCATCACAACTGTAAGCCCACTAAAATATAAATATCTCTTTAAAAGTTCACATCAATGTTGTAAATACGCCATACTATATTATGGACAAACATTCACACATATCATAATAACTCAATAGAAATTAGTGCATGAAATATGAGATATAAAAATCATGATAACATATTAAACAAAATATACAATGAATAATGCATCTAATAACTGCGAACATATGCAATGAATAATCCAGTAACATATGACTCACTCATGCATATGAACATACATAGGACTCGAAATAGTACAAGACACTGTACAGTGTGGATTTTAAAAATCCATATATCATTGGACTTCTGGTCCTTGATAAACTTATGATGATTATCATTATGTCGACATCAAAATGGACATATATTCTAGATCCCTTATTCGCTAGTCCATTATATCATGCATATGCATTATTTATTAGTTCCATCATATACCGGTATCATTATATGATTACTCAAGGTACAATTATGATTTCTTGCTATTTTGACAATGATATCTGAATACATTTTTCATTGGTACCATCATAATTTTTCTTATATTATAGGCCATCTATTGTAATAATTCAGATATCTACACAACTTCAAGGGTGATTCATACACCTGGTATTAATATACTATTACACTATTAAAAGTGTCAATTGCACTATCTTGCCATATATCACATCTTTATTTTGGAACCGATTATACAATCTACACTTCAGGTGTAGCGCTTCAGGTATATATAATTGGCAAGCTTTATCTCAACGTATACACATAATTAATATGACCAAAATGTATCTTCAACGCTATGCAACATGAGTCATAACTAAATACAAATCAAATCATATATGTCCAACATATCTTGATAATATGTAGACAATAGTTGGCATATAACTTTTCAAACTTATGTTACAGGGATCATCAAGATTTTTATTTTGCTAACTTATGCGAACTCTTCTCCTCCTAAGTTGGTAAAACAACTCATATATAGGGGCATCAAATTAAAATTTTTGACCAACTTAGTATATAAATTTGCAAAATAATTTATTTCATTGGGAAGATCATATTCAATAAAATTTATCTCTTTTGGAGAATATTATTAATGTGGGGAGAGTATATTGTGCAATTGTTCATCAATTCTTATCTTTATTCTTGTGATGACTGATAATAGCCTCAATAATCAAGAGATTGTTATACAAGTATTAGTCACTTCTATGTAATTCATTAGACAATGATCTTTACTAGACAGTGATCTTTTGGATCATCAAAAGATTTTAATAATGACATATTAGTTACTCAAAAATTTAACATACAAGTAGCCTTAGTGAGCTTTCAGTCACCTAATACAATGATTTTCTACTCACCTAATAAACTGAACAAAATATAAACTATCTTGGTGAACTTCTGGCCACCCATTACATATGCCCATACAAAGTTGTTAGAAACTAATATATATGTACAATCTCTTGAATTTTTTTTTTTCGTCAAGATAAACTATTAAAATCACAATTCAAATGTATCTCAATCTCAATGTTATGTCTTGCCATTCAATTCATTTCATATATCTAAGATTGAGAGAGCGTCAGCACATTGTTTCTTTCATATCAAATGAAACTTCAGGTTCTCATAACGGGTATTTATTAAACCCGAATGGCCTATTTAATTTTCACATTCAATCACTTTTTGAATTTAAACTATATATGGTCAACTTTCCAATTCCGTGATCACCTTATCAGATTTATTTTATGCATGGCCATGAATATATTGTGATATAAGAACAGTAACATGCATATCTTTCTTCACTTGGCAAGACAATCAACTAATACTTGATCAATAATAATGAATTAATTATGCTCTGCTGGAGTATTAACTATAATCTTGATACATGCTAATCTTGTTGGACATTTCATACTCTTATGGAGTCTTTTATATAAATATGGTAAATTTCAATTTTACTAAACATGATGCTTCTAGTGATCTAATGAAGTTTATCACTTCATCAAATCTGTCATTGACAACCGTTGCTCCTTTCTTTTCCCAAAAGTTCATATTATCTATAGGTATCTATTAATCTACCACGCTTCAGGCATCTCCTTGGTTGATTAACAACTGATATTGTCCTTCTAGGACATAAATTTTAATGGGAGCATTTACAACTAGTATATAGTCAATGACAATACAATTATTCATATATATCTCCAAGATGGTATCGTACTAAAGATTTAATTATCATGTGGCCACCTCTATCGAATAAATATTAATATTTAAGTTAATGTATGTGTCAAACTGACCATTAGTGTTATTTTATTGTTTATGTGCAAGGATTACATATTTAATGAAAAGAATAATATATCTCATAAGTATGGGCATAAAAAATTTATCAAGTGAGTTGCTCACAATGTCATGCATGTCCAATCTCTCGCTCATAAAGATAATATGTACTCATGTTTGCAATTCTATCTTATGAACTTTTCTTTGAATTATATATATTAAAAAAACATCATGCAAACATGCTTATCTCTATTAAGTATGCAATTTCTCATTCACTTCTGGGAATGAATATATCTAGTTATTTATCAATATTCAGCTAGAGTTTGGTATCTTGGATATCCAAACAAAAGACAATAATATATAAACTATACAAATTCTTTATATTTTCACATGACATTGTGTATATAGGAACACATTATTTTTAGGTCTAATAGATGATATACATATAATCATGTTTGCAGTTCTAATTGAACTTTTCAATGATTTTTTTTAATAACAAAAACATCGTGCAAACATGTTTCTTTCCAATCATACAAGACTTATTCACTTCTGAGATTGAGTAATTCTAGTAATTTATGTACCATCAATTTTGACCCAAAGTTCGATATCTAGAATACTATTCTAAAACTTTTGTATAATCAATCTCATAACTTTGTGTTTATAAAATCACATTTAATCAAATGAAATTACACAATCTGTATTTAATAAGATCTAGAACTTATAGTCGAATAGATTTAAAAGAGTATGCAATTGTAGAGTATTGATTAGCAAGTTACTAGTAGTTCACTACTTGTTTTCTTTATTTCATAAATAAAAAATCGTTAATATCTCATAAAATAGACATCATCAATGAATTCATTTCAAATCTAATTAACACAATAAATAATTGCTGTCAAATTCATTTTCAAACAAGTGCTAGCTAGCATGAATTTAGGTCGAATAAACATTCATGTGGCCAATAAAAATAACATCATGTATATATAAATAATCACATTCATAAAAGTAAGTAACTTTATAAGCTTCAAAGGATTACAAGTAGATCATTCTTCAAATAGATTAGCCCCCAAACATATGGTCATAGTATCGACTGCTTTCTCGTACTACGTATGAAATATTTTCTTTGGTAGTATTATTTCCAAGCACCGATACATCTAAGTGTATTTCAGCACACACATATAAGACAGATAATATTTCCCGATGATATCAAGACTAATAAATTCTATTTTTGTAAGATTGGACTTAACTTATTATAAAAAAAAAATAAAAAAAAAATACGAATTAAAAGAAAATGTACTTAGAGGCAGGTATCATAACATTCTGTTAGTGTAAGATTATTAGGAATTTATACATGACCAATTGACCACTCATACCAAACAAAAGTATTGGTATACTCTTAACATATTACTCATAAGCTGTCAAAAATTAGCAGTACGAGGGTTTCATGCCAGCAGGTTATAAAATAAATTTAGTTGTTGTTCATGTATAATAACAACTAGACATCAATAAAACTAAATTAAAACAAGCATGGTGGAAGTATAAATTTGCAAATCTACCACTCCACCGTCAAAGTTACTTAATTTGCTCCAATTCATTATATTGGCTTACTGTATTATTAATTATAGCCCATAGGCTATACATAATATATAAGAAAATTGACACAGAGATATACCATCCAACTAAAGTATACATATAATTAAACATAGTTAATCAATACTTGACGAAATACATATGAATCACGCACGAGTTTATATAGGGTGAAATATATAACAAAATTGAATTAACAACCACCGTTTAGTAATGCAAAATTTCGGTAAAACCTGAAATTTCACTAAAAAAAAAGGTAGGTAGGGTTCTGAACGTCCTATTCAACAATAGTAGTGATAATCGAATTCCGAAAAACCCATCTGAATCTATAATTAACATTATCAAAGATTTAATTCAAAATAAACATACTATGATCATCTAATCAGAGAATACAATGGAAATTGATAATGAAAGTACGATTGTCTAATCAAACTAATTTCATTCATTAAAAGTATACATATTCAAATAGGATAAATTAGTCGAAATAAATCGAATAGCATATTTAGTTTCCATACTAAAACATCATATTCATACTTCTTTTAAAACATACATAGTATAAGTTATCAAGCGAATAACAAGTGTAATACACCCATAGTTAATTTTGTTGAAGTAAACAATAGCAGACTTAATATAATAAAGTTTGTGGGCAAGAGAATAAGAATGTTGGGTTACCCTTTTTAGCAGAAAAGAGTAATGTTGTTACTCAGACTTCTTTCGTGAGATCCTTCTTATTAGGTTGGTTTCGTCAAATTGCTCAGATCAATTGGTTAGATTTGGTGCTGATAACGTGTTATAAAATTAAAGAGAAAGAGAGAGTGACTGAGTGAGGGATAGCTCAAGTGGTTAGAGCTTCCCTCCCGATTCCAGGAGATCTTGGGATCAATTCTCACCCCCGCCCTTGTACCTCTCTAAACACCAAAAAAATTAAAGATCTATATTATTCCATAGACTGGGATATATATACATACAATATAACTAGGGTTTGCTTAGATAACAATAAACCCTAGGGTATCCACGCAATATTTCATAACAGCTAAGACAAACTCCCATTTCCTAAACACTTGAAATAAATATTCTTTTAATACGTACGCTATTTTAATTAATCAAATAAAACATTCATTAATTGAGTAGGTAATATTACTGTAGAACACAGCACAAATTCCATTTTCTCTTTTTTATCAACACAATCGCAAGTCAAAGAGTTCGTCTTTCATTCTTCCTCTTTCCCTTGAGGATCAATCACCATTTTTCAGAAAAAAAAAGGATTTCGCAGATATTCAAACTACTCCAGAAATTGAATTCAGTCATTCGTTAGGTGAATAATTTTAATCTTCTTCTTTTTTTCATCGCTCAACTTTATTGAATTCAGATGAATTTTGAGATCTTTGCTTAATTTATTTTATTTCTGGATTTTTCTTCAATTAAACTGTGCATTTCTTTTTAGTTTCTGTAATTCACATTTACATTATAATAGTAATTGCATATTGATTCTGTGATTTGAATTTTTTATTTGTTTCTATAAAATTTCTGCTGATTTTCTTGATTGCATTTTTCATCTCTTAGAATTGGGATTAATTGAATTGGTTGACTAAGTCGATGGCGCTCTCAAGGCTTCGACAACCATTATTGTCACGCGTTCCATTGCTCAGAGTTCGTCTTTTCTCGTCTTCGATACCATCCATATCAAGGTATACTGTCAATTATTCTTGATTGAAATTTCAACAGGTTTATTGTAATGCACAGGGCCGTTTCTGAGATTTTGGAGGGCTATGGGCGAACTAATGTATTGGGGCCCTTATTTTAATTATATGTATCTAATTCTCAAATTTTATTACCATAAAGTAATTCTTTTTTAAAAAAGTAACCACTCTAATAACTATCCATTTCCACGAACATTCTGCCACTGGGAAATTCTCCTTTTTTTTTCGGGCAGTAAACGACTAAACAATGACCATCTTAGTTTGCAAAACGTTGTATGGTCGAAAAAATATAGTATGTCTTTGAATTGGGAAATATACTTCATACAACTGACGTGACAGCTTTTGGTCGGCTTTTCTTTTCTCTCATCTCTGGATCTAGTTTTTTTTACTTGGATAATGTAGCCATGTAAGAGTTATTACTTTCCAAGTTTGAATAAAAAATTTACATTTAGCTAGCTCGCTATTTTAGAAAGGAAAAAAAAAAAAATCATATCGTCCAACTATATATACTGTAGTATAAATAATATTTTATATGTAGTAATAGCTAAAAATAATATGTACATAAAATACGTAAAATTATCCAAAAATTTGTGCTTATAGAATCTCATTTCTCATATACCAAGTCAAAAACAACACATTATGCATGAGTCTTTCATAAAAATATATTTTTTCTCATAAGATGATGTAGAGATAAAAGTAGGATTTTTTTTAAAAAAAATAAAAAAATAAATTGAAGAAAGCGTTTTACTGGGTGTAAAGGACAAAAAGAAATTTTTTTTCAAAAATGGAAGTTGTGGTACTCGAACCTCCGACTGTTCAATCAAAGCCTACACTATTCATTAATGCTTACCAGCAAGACAAATGTTAAAAACATAGAATAGATTGCATTTAATTTGATTATAACAAATTTTTGGGCTTCTAATTGGGGCCCTGGGCAGTTGCCCCGGCTGCCCCGGCTCAGATACGGGCCTGGTAATGCAATCTAGTAAATTGTTTAGATGATACATAAGCCCTACATAATTCTGAAAGTTGAATTTCACCTTTTTGAATTTTTACTCTAAAATGGTGCACATATATGCATTATTATAATGCTTTTATTTTTGTAAAATGACAATAATAAAACTTCTTTCATGAGAATATGTGTAGCTCTAATAAGGTAAATTTGCTTTTGAATTGAGTTAAAAGAGATTCGAGCATGAGACTTCAGTTGCTTTAATAAATTTTACTCCGTAGTAGATATGAACACCTAATGGTAAAAATGTATCGAGCAAAGCAAGAGAAAAGAAGAGATGTATTGAATTGATATGTTAGGGGAAGATGGTTAAATAGTGGTAGGTGGTGTGACTAGGGTCTTGGGCTAGGGATTGGAATTGATATGTTAGGTACATAGTATAAAAGGCGAAAGGTGCAACAAGGTGATAAGGATTTCCCTTCGCCTTAGGTGCGTCTCATTATAGTGAGGTGCTCTTAAAGGAGGGAATGGTTTGAAAAAAAAAATTGAGGGGCCATTTGGTTTACACAAGGTAAATGGAATGGAATGAACAAAGGGAAACAACATGTGAATCCCCGTGCATTCGCAACTGCAAGGACATGTGAATCATCTGGAATCTTTAAGTTGCTGTTTGGGCACCCTTATGCTTTGGCGGTGTCACCGGTGCTTATTAATTTGGCTGTTGTTTTGGCCTGGTTGATTATCTTACATTCAGAGTGTCAGCCTATATTAGCTTTGGTGCTAAGTTGACTGGTTTTAATTTCAGTCAGTTTAGCTGTGAGTTTGTTGGATTTAGTTTTATGCTTTCTTCAGGATGAGTAGGACTTAGCTTTCACGTGTGCTTAGCTTAAAATAGGGATGTGAGCTTAATTTCGTGAGACAATTTTGTGTGAATGTAAGAATTATTTAATGAAATCATCATCTTCTTAGTTATTTTGATATTTGGTGCCCAATGCTTTTCTACTTGAGAAAAAATTGCTAAGACATGGATTTGGAACTCATTAGTGCTGCTGTGAAATAAATGATACTCTGGGATAAGGATAATTGGGGTAAAGAACATAGCTGACTTGCGATGACCCTGGCTTTCAAATTGGCTCCTTAATTAGGATTTCATTGTATTTATAAAGTACACTTTCTGTCTTTCCGTGTTCATTTATTATTACCCTTTTTTTATTTTTTATTTTTTATTTTTTATTTTTAAGAAATACAACTTGTTCCACCTCATAAAGACAACTCCAAGCAAATTTTGGTGTTAATTTTTTAAACAGCTCTTCTTTTATAATGCCTTTTTTTTATTTTGGCTACACAGATACTATGTTCCTCGAGCTTTATCCACGGATGGAAATGGGGGTTTGCTAAGGTTTGTTTTTGTTCACTTTGTCACTGGCTTACTGCTTGAATTATCTTCTGTTGAGACTTCTATTGTCTATTTATCTTATTGTCTCATACTGTCTTCTTTCACATTATATTTAACAGGGCTTTGTGCATCTTGTCTATAATTTTAGTGCAGTTGTTTACATTACTATTTTCTGGTTTAGTGCTAAATGATCCTTAATTTATCATATAAAAAGCCTCAATTCAATGCTCAACTAACCCATTAACCAGCCTATAGGTCATTTACTATCTGCCTTACCATTCTTGGAATTTCGGAAGTTTGTATATAATTTTGGTTCATACACTGATGATTTTTTTCCTAATGTTCTTAAAACTCGATTTTGACGCGCTGAACTCTTTAATTGGAAAATGCAGTAAATATAGGCCCATGCTAGGCTTTCCCTAGTGGTATTGATTGACATGTCTTGAACTGTGAGAAGATTTTCCTTATATATTTTCTTTCTACTATGAAATGTTATCTGAAACCCAAAACTTGTTAATCCTGTAAGAGTCAAATATGTACTTAGTGTACAAACAATGATTGATTTGATTGTGTTCTAGTGATTTTTGACTTAGTGCCTGATGTCCTACTAGAAAAATAGAGTGGCTTTTTGTGTCTGTTCAATATTCTGAAATGAAAAATCCCCTCTTTTACAGTTTCTAGCTTCTCTGGATGCTTTATTATTTCTCTCGATACTTTTTTTATTTCTAGTTTAATGATTAGGTTGTGCAAATAATTTAATTCCATGATGTTCAGGTGTACGTCAGTATCTGTGGTTACTGGTTTTTTAGGAGACTTGTCTAAGATCAAGGTTAGTTTTTTAAGAATAAATTTGAAGATTGCTTGCGTTCTACATTATTAAATTCTCAACTTTTTATTTTGGGGAATGATTTGATTTTTTTTTTTCTTGTCATACCTTGCAGTTTCAGTTTGGGGCTCGGTACATGTCATCAGCAGGTATCTTCAGCTTCCTTGTTTTCTCTGTTTGGATTATTTAGGAATTGACCTATTTACTGTTGTGTGTGTATATGGATTTTGAATTGTAATATAATATGAGGTTTAAGTATATGATTTACATTTTGATATGATTATTATCAATGTGATCTATAATTCTATGTATGACAATCAATTTGCTGAACTTATTTTAGTTGAACGAGCTTAATTTTGTTGACAGAAATTTTGTTATCTATCTTCCATTCTCCTCTACACACCACCACGAGAATTCACCCTCCACAATCCACCACCCAAATGCATACAAACTCACTATCGTTGTATCTACTTCTCTTGTTGACGTCTCAACAACCTCTTGTTCTAAGTTCTAACAAGAGAAATTATTAGGATTCTTTTTAAGGACAATAAATGACAAGGAAAATGGTTTAATCACAGCAGAATAAAAATACTACCAAGGGAGAATGTTTATTTGGTGCTAGTGGACCGTGGGAGATATTGATGTACACCTCCCACTCCCGAGAAAGGACTATGTGAGATATTGACGTACACCTCCCACTATTTCTCTGGATTCACCTCCCATTCCCGATTAAAGTCCCAAAATCAGATGCTCTGAAATGCCTGGCGCTTCAGAGGGTTTGGAGTGGGCTCTCTAGGAAAGGGAGTAGGCGCTCCATGCTTTCTGCCAAAGTCCCAAATTTGCCCTGCAGCTTGAAGCGGGTGCTCTGTGAAATCAGAGCGGGCACTTGGCACTCCAAGTCTTCTGCCTACACCTTTTCATGAGCCATTCTATAATTCCAAGTTGATGACCCTTGCTCTAACTACCAAGCCTTGAACCTCCAATTCATCTTCAGTGCTTTACTCTAGTTTGAGGATGGTCAATCCTGAGAGTTGACCATTCAAAAAGTTCTCCATGCCCTAGAGTCATGACACGCGGGCCACGTGGTATCTCCTTATTTCCCACCTCCACTAGGTTCAATGAACTCGCATTATATATGTGAGTCACAATTGGATTCCAATTCAAAATATTGGCTATGGAATTGAGACTAATATGATTAGTGTGTAATATGGTATGTCTCTTTTTCTAAAACAACAAAAAAGGAGTGCACAACCAGTTGAAGTTACAATGGGATAGAGTTCATTATGAATTGTCACACCATTTGGGGAATACGTAGGTGTGATAACATTTTTGAATATACGTTAGTTACTTTTTGACATTGGCTAATATTCTTTGCCTGAATTTGTCACTTTATTGATTGACCTCCTGCTTAAGACTCTCACAAATAGCTTGGCCTTATGCTTATTATCATTGTATTATTGACTTGATGAATACTCTATTTGTGATAGGCTGCTTTATTATAGCACTCAATACTCTCAAAAGGGGTAATCTCTCCAAGCAATGTTGTTCACTACCATGCTGACCAATATTTTTCCCACAAATTCTCTTCTTTCTTGTAAATGAACTTGTGGGTTCATGGCTGCTGCTTCGTTTTATTTATTTTTGTCACTTTAAAATATAATTTTTAACACAGTTGATGTATATACATGTGAAATAGGAATATTTTGGGAGCATGAGCACCACCTAAGTGCATTATGTCTCTAAATATTAATTAAACATGAACTTAAAAGAGTACGCAGTAAAAAGAAAAATAAAAAAAAATACTCCATAACATATAAGAGAAACTAGAGTTTGAATCGCAATAAAATTCTTGAGGTTACTTATCTACAATACTTATTTTAAAAATTTATTAAATCTATGTACTTTTTAGAATAGCTTAAATTTTATGATAACATTTATCTATAATAAATTTGAAGAAATTTCAAAATTAGCCTATTTATTCGTCTTACATCTTAGTATTTGAAATAATAAAAATAAATTTGCAAAATGATGTTTGGACGGTTTGACCCAACTCATTCATCGCAAGAGCTTAAATTTAGTATCTTTATAATTTACCAAATGACTATTAGTGAGCATGTTCTGTGCACACATTACACCATTCAAAGTGTATGTGTTAAACTATATGCTAAACGTTGTGATGTTTTGAGCATTACATCATCACAATGTTGATCACTAGGGAAATTAAACTAACAAATGAAGGCATTTTTAATTCTGTACCATTATTATTGCTTCTAATGTAGCCACTGCATTTACTTGTATTGCAGATATACCTTCACACATAGTCCTCGAAATGCCTGCTTTGTCCCCAACTATGGTATGTATTTGTCTTAATCATCTTAGGCAAAATTGTGCTTATTCCCTAGTTTTTTTTTGTTTTTTTTTTCTTTTCTCTTTTCGTTTAGAGGAATTATTATCAAGTAGTGGTTTGTTGCAGAATCAAGGAAACATTACAAAATGGAAGAAAAAAGAAGGAGATAAGGTAAGTAGCAAGTAAGTTTTTTTTTTTTTTTTTTTTTTTTTTTTTTTTTTGGGGGGGGGGGGGTCTGCAATTTTATACACCTTGGAATGGGAATTATAGTGTGCATCTTGGATATGGATGAACATATGGCTCAAAAATTCTGATCATACAGTTCAAAAATTACAAACTTATCTGTCCATAATTGCTATATTCAGAAATGTATCTTCACTGCCGAAGTAAATAAGAACTATATGTTTGTAATATTTGAAAATGTACCCTAATATAGTGAAAAGTGAACTATATATTTGTAATATTTGAACTTTATATTCACTCTTGAATTATATTTTCCTTTACGCTTTGTTTGGATAGCAAATAAGGAAGGAAGGGAAGGGAAGGGAAAGAGGCAGCAAAGTGAAAAGAAAGGGAGGGGGGAGATGATCTCCATTTTCCCTCCCGATCTCTCCAATTTTGGAGGGATTATGCTTATTAAAGAGAGATGGAAAAAGGATCCCTCCCTCTCCTTCCCCTTCCTTTCCCCAATCCTTTACCCAAAAAAGAGAGTTTGTCCCCCTTCCTTTCTCTTCTTTTCCTTTTTTATTTTTTTTTATTCAATTTCCTTCTATCCAAACAAAGTGTTAATGTTAATGTTTCACGGATTAATTCGCTTACTATTAATTTCATCTCTCAGATTGCTGTGGGTGATGTTCTATGTGAGATAGAGACTGATAAAGCTACCGTGGAGTTTGAAAGCCTTGAAGAAGGGTAAATTATTAGTAACTTCTATTTTGAGCAAATTTTATCACCAATTATAAATTTGTAACTAATGACATCTTGTTTCATTTTATGAGTTTTACACTCTTTATGGATCATTAAGCATGGGTCTAACTACGGGCTTATATAGGTAGTATCTCTTGCATATTGGGGCTTTGTAGTTTCAATAACCAATATTTTCATAGGTGTGGCTAATGCTAGGGGCAACTTATTTCAAAATATATCTTGTTCTTATTGTAGTATTAGTTAAATTGTTCTTTTTTTGTCAATCAAATTTACCTTAACAACCACTACACTTCAGCCATTCCAAAATCCATTGTTAACTTGTGGTAGGCTTTGGAGTTAGACTGTAAGCAGTCCCTCATTCATATTGGTTGAATATTATTACAACGGTAAATTTATAGGGATAGAGCACTTTGAGGTTCTCAACTTTGGTGTTATCTCCTTGCAATCACTTATTCATACTGGTTGGAAATTACTTCAACGTTAATTTTAACGGAGATTGAGCACTTTGAAGATCTGAACTTTGACTCATAATTCTTCGCTTAGAAGGATAAAATTTAGGGTTTTCTATGTTTGATACATATTGTGGTCAATTGAAGAGGATCATACCTTTTGGATAGTGTCTTGGATTAAGATTTAAGCACAAAGCAATATGGACCTAAGAACTAGCTCCATTCATATATCTAGCGCAAAGTTTGGAGTATATTAATTATATAAGATTGAAAGTCATTGAGACAATGTAAATATATATTAAGACCCACAGATTATTTAAAAAAAAAAAAATCACTGATGATGCTCTTAAGTAACGAATTTTTTCTTTAGAAGGTGTGCAGTCTTGCAATTTTATTCCTTACTTATGGATGAATGGGTTTGTTTGCTGAACTGTGAAAATGGTTGAGTGCCACTTGACTCTTCTTGATTTTGTAGATGAACTACTTTATAATAACTCAAGGGAATAGGTTTTTTTGTTCATGGCCCTTCTTTTGTAAATCTGTGTCACCTCCTCGGGGTTTTTATTTTATGTATCCTTTTCTTATCAATTTGACCCTCATGAAAATCCCAAGGCCTAGATCAATTGTTATGTTCCTTTTGTTTGAAAGTAGGATGGATGGATCCTAAAGAATCAATTATTTTTTTCAAGCTGCTTGACCTTTCTTCATTAATCATGTGTGATACATTGGATCCACAGATGGGATCCAAACAACTTTTGTATTATTTAAAAGATTTTTTTTTTAATTGACTATTACGTAATTACTAGGGAATAATCAAATTTATGTAAGCATTGTTCTGGGTAATCATGTGCTTTCGTCATGTAGGTAAACATGGTCAGGCTTATTATATCAGTTTTATACTTTTACTACAATTAGTTCTCTTTAGTTGATGTTGATTGTAATTTTCATGTTCGTGTTCATCTGCATTTCCACTGGTTTATGGAAGTGAAAAATTTAGTTTATATGAGCAAAGTTTACACTATGCCTATACAGTTTCACATGAATACTCTGTGGAAAATATCAAGCTCATCAAACGTACACAATTCTTCATTATTTATTTGATTTCAATCTTTCCCCAGTGCCTTTATCATCCGAACTACTACTTTTGAACTTATGATGCAAGAGATCAACCCCGTCCTGAGGTCCGTTTCACATATGCTAGGAAAAGGTTCAAGAATATTGTAGCAAATGCTGGAGGCTGAGCTGGACAACAGTTAGTTATGATTTCAGTTTTGGGATCAAGGGCATGATAGTAATTCAAGAAATAGTTTGTTATTTTGATTCCTTGCATTAGCTGTAATAATTGAGTTTGTTAGGCTAATTTTGATTATAAGTATTGCTAATAGGGGGAGGGAAGGACTATGTTACATGGACTCGGGTACGTGTGTCGGACACAGACACGTGTCCGAGTGTCCGATTCGCCAATTTCCAAAATTTTAGGACACGGGGATTCTGTCCTATATTTTGACACGGGTGCGGGGACACGACATTTTCATTTTTTGCAAAAAATTATACATTACAAAATATTTAAATATTTCATTTAATATTCAAAAAATTTATACCATATAATGCTAAAACTATGACAACACTTATTATTTGGGTTTTTTTTTATTTATTTTTTTAAAAAAAAAAAAAGATAAAGATGAAGTACTAAGTAACTCAGTAACTCACCGCAAGAAATTAAATAAAGGGGTAAAAAAGTTATGGACACAAACACACAATTGTCACAACAGTAAAAAGGGATTTTAAAAATAAATAAAAAACCAATAAAAGGGGGGAATACAGCTGTAAAGCACTGACTTTTTTACTTTCAGATTTTTTGTATTGTCTTTCTTCTTTAACCTCCCGCTCCCTCAAATTTCTTACTTATCCATAGCTATATTTCTCCTTTGCTTGAAAAATAAGGCTTTTTTTTTATTTTTTTTATTTTTAAAATTCAGCTTTATTTCTGCCCTTCCCCTCTCTCTGAAGTGTCCGAGTGCACACTGCCGAATCCGACACGAATTTCGTGTCCGAATCCGCGTCGTGTCGACACTGACACTCCGACATTTTAGCCGAGTCCGGTGAACATAGGGGAAGGATATACAGAAAATTATTGAGGTTGCTTGTTGGGAGAGTTCCTTCCTCTCGAATGAAGGCTATTGTATTGTGATCACACTGATTGCAATTTAACTATCTTGGCTGCTAAATTCTCCTCTCTTGCTCAAATTTGGTATCAGAGCAGTGTCGATTCTTGTCGGAGAAGACAATGGCGCGACTGAATCATGGTCAGAGACTGGACTTACTATAGCAGGAGATTTTTGGGCTTCCTGCTCGTGTGCCCGAGAGATCTCCACGGCTATGGCGACATTTAAAACGGATGTCACCAACCAGTTGGCTGAAGGTCAGGAGAAGCTCCGTTCCAAGGTGCGGTCTATTATGTCCGGCGGTCCGCAACCACGGGAAGCCGAAGGATATCAGTGGGATAACCCCTTTTCTTCGCAACACCACCTAGATTATGGAGATGGTGGATTCCTAGGTGGACAATCGAATTGGAAATTGCGAAAGCTCGACTTACCCATCTTCGACGGTACAAATCCAGATGGATGGATCCTCCGAGCGGAGCGATTTTTCCATTTCTACCGTCTGTCGGAGGAGAGAGATCAACTGGAGGCCACGGTGGTGGCGCTTGATGGCGACGCCCTGCTTTGGTACCAGTGGGAGCACCGTCGTCAACCTTTGCAGACTTAGGAAGCCTTGAAGAAGCAACTGTTGCGCCGTTTCAGAACCACCGCGACGGGGTCCCTGCATGAGCAGTGGTTGGCCCACGAGCAATCTGGCTCGGTGGCGGACTAACGGCGCCGTTTTATTGAGCTCTTAGCTCCTATTGACGGAGTACCTGAAGAGATTGCCAAAGGGCAATATATAAATGGACTCAAGGAGGATATCCGGGTTGAAGTTCGGATCCTTAGCCCACCCACCTTGGATCTGGCTATGGATCTTTCGATGCGGGTCGAGGAAAAATTAAATTTGAGCCCAAAGCCCAGATCCAACTCTTCTAGCCTACCAACCTGGAGAACACCTTACCCAAACCTTCGTCCTAACCCAAACACAAACCAAAACAAAAACCCAAACACACACCTCACCCAAAACACCCCAACCCACCCTTTTACCACCAGATCTACCACCAAACCAGCTGCCGAACTACGCCGGTTGTCGGAAAAAGAACTGTAGCAGAAACGGGAACTCGGGTTATGTTTCCGCTGCGATGAAAAATGGACCATCAATCACCGATGCCAGCGGAGGGGACTCAACGTGCTTCTCACGGTGGATGACGATGACTGGGACGATTCAGGTGAGTTCTCCATGGTCGAATCTCTACCTGACACCCCCGAGCAGCCTCCTGTCCCCACTCCATTGCCGCAACCCATACCATTGCCGCAATCAGCCTTACACCACCAGAGCTCGGTGATGGGTTTAAGTGGGCCTAAAACTATGAGGCTGGCTCGTGCTGTCAACGGCAGGCCTGTGGTGGTCATGATTGACCCAGGGGCCACGCATAATTTCTTGTCCTTGGTGGGTGCCAACACTTACAAGTCCAGCCATCGACCACTAAGAGCTTCGGTGTGACGCTTGGAACAGGGGAAGCAGTGCAAGGGGAAATGGAATGTAAGGGCGTTTTATTGGACCTTTAGGGGTCACAATTGTGGAAGACTTTCTCCTTCTACCCTTAGGTAATTCGGATGTCATTTTGGGGATTCAATGGCTGGAAAAGCTCCGGAACACAACCACCAATTGGAAGACCCAGACACTTAAATTTCAATTGAATGGCGAGACTGTTACACTACGGGGTGATCCTCAGTTGGGTCGGACTGGCATTTCATTGAAGGCAATGCTCAAAACTCTTCAGAAAGAGGGAAAAGGCTATTTGCTCGAACTCAATCATATTAGCAGTGTGGAGGAGAAAGAAGCACCACCTGTTCCAGCAGTGTACCAGCCCTTATTGCACGATTTCCAACAAGTTTTCAATATGCCACCAGGGTTGCCCCCGCAACGCCAAATTGAACACTCTATTGTGCTTCGTAGCGGCTCTAACCCGATTAACGTTAGGCCTTACAGGTACCCTCTATCTCAGAAGGATGAGATGGAGAAATTAGTAGCTGACATGTTGGCTGCAGGAATTATTCAACCCTCTTCAAGTGCGTACTCAAGGCCGGTATTGTTGGTCAAAAAGAAAGATGGATCTTGGCGTATTACAGGGCTCTTAACAAGAAAACTATTCCGGACAAGTATCCAATTCAAATAATTGATGAGTTATTGGATGAGTTGGGAGGGGCAGCTATCTTCTCCAAATTCGATTTGAAATCTGGGTATCACCAGATTAGAGTCAAGTCAAGGCTGAAGACGTGCATAAGACGACCTTTTGCACTCACGAGGGCCACTAATGCTCCAGCGACATTTCAGTCACTATGAATGAGGTTTTCAGGCCGTTTCTTCGCAAGTTCGTTCTTGTCTTCTTCGATGACATTCTCGTCTATAGTCCCTATGAAGCCACTCATTTAATTCACTTGAAACAAGTGCTGGAGGTTCTGGCAGAACATGCTTTGTATGCCAATTCCAAAAAATGTGAAATAGGAAAGTCCCGAGTAGCATACCTTGGTCATGTGATCTCTGCAGCAGGGGTGGAAGTTGATTCTGCGAAGGTGCAAGCTATGGTTGATTGGCCTCCTCCCTCGATCTTGAGAGAGCTGCGGGGCTTCCTTGGCCTCACAGGCTACTACCGAAAATTCATTCCAGGATATGCTCTCATTGCTCAACCACTTTGTTGTGTAAGGATAAGTTTGGTTGGACTGAGGCTGCTACACAAGCTTTTAACTCTCTTAAAAGTGCCATGGTCAATGCTCCAATCTTCGCAGCACCTAATTTCTCTCTTCCGTTCATTGTGGAGACTGATTTTCTCGGGGCATGGTCTAGGGGCAGTGTTACTTCATGCTGAACACCCCATTGCTTATTATAGCAAGATTTTAGGAGTAAGGAATCGGGACAAGCCAATCTATGAGAAGGAATTGATGGTTGTTGTCTTCGCCATTGAGAAATGGGGGCAATACTTACTTGGCCGTCACTTTATTGTGAGGACGGACCAAAAGAGCCTCAAGTACCTCCTTGAACAGTGAGAAATTGGGCAAGCATATCAAAAGTGGGTGAGCAAGCTACTTGGCTATACGTTTGACATTCATTATAAGCCTGGACCCATGAATAAAGTTGCTGACGCCTTAGCTCATCAATTTTCTCCTGATATGGAGTGTTGTACTTTGGTCACTTCTTGCGGCATTCGTTGGGATTATGTCCAATCTTTCATTATGAAAGATGCTGTCCTCCGGCTGATATCACAATTTCAGGAAGGAGAATCGGTTCCTAAGTGGTTCTGTTTGGATAATGGGGTGCTGAAATACAAGGGGAGGATAGTGATTCCCAAGCACAGTGATTGAGGGCATGCGGGTGATTTCAAAACATACCAACGTTTAGCAGGGGAAGGGGAATGGTTCTAGTTTGGTATGAGGAAGGATGTTCAGCAATATGTGCAGCACTGCCATGTTTGTCAGCAAAATAAAACTTCGACTCTTTCTCCTTACCCATTCCGGAAAGGGTGTGGGAGGACATATCTATGGATTTCGTAGAAGGGTTACCCAAATCTTCGAGGTGGGATACCATACTTGTGGTCGTGGACAGGTTGACTAAGTACAGGCATTTCATTCCCCTTAAACACCCCTATTCCGCTTAGAGTGTGGCCCACACTTTTGTCACAGAGGTGGTCAAGCTCCATGGCATACCTTGCTCTATTGTCTCGGATAGGGACAAAGTATTCCTTAGCATTTTCTGGAAAGAGTTATTTCGCCTCCAAGGAACTCAGCTCATGCGTAGTACGGCCTACCATCCTCAAACGGATTGTCAGACCGAGGTGGTAAATAAAGGTGTAGAGGCTTACTTGAGGTGCTTTGTGAATGGGAAGCCTCATAGTTGGTCTCGTTGGCTACCTTGGGCTGAGTATTGGTATAATACTTCCTTTCACTCCGCCACCAATTGCACCCCTTTCAAGGCTCTCTGTGGTCGTGATCCACCAAATCTGGTTCGCTTCTCTGCTGGCAGTACTACTGTTTCTTCTGTGGAAGAACAATTGAGTGAGAGGGATGCCATGTTGGATGACTTGAAGTATCACTTGGTTCAAGCACAAGTGTATATGAGGCACTATGAGAATCAGGGAAGGCGTGAGGGTACTTTTCAGGTTAGTGACTTGGTTTACCTGAAATTACAGCCTTACAGGCAGAAGTCTTTGGTGCGGAGGTCCAATGACAAACTCTCTCCTCGATTTTATGGGCCTTACCCTGTCATTCAACGCATAGGTCAGGTGGCTTATAAGTTGCAGCTTCCTCCTTATGCCAAAATCCACCCTGTTTTCCATATTTCACAGTTGAAGAAGGCTATTGGAGCCACTCATACCCCAACCCAACTCCCTGTGCACTTGTCTGCTGATTTGACTTTTGGAGGTAGAACCTGAGGCTGTGCTGGTGGTGCGAGACTCTCAGTCTGCCATGGAAGTCTTGATACAGTGGAAGGGGTTACAAAATTTTGAGACCACATGGGAGTTCTTTGATGAAGTCAACTCGAGTTGAAGGCTATTGTATTGTGATCGCAATGCAATACAAATATCTTGGCTGCTTAATTCTCTTCTCTCTTGCTTGATATTCTCTCTGTTTTCATACTAAATCCTAGCATATGAATAGCTAAAAACCTCTATAAGAGTGCGTGTGGTTTAGAGCTGAAGTTGAGCTGGAATTTCCTTAATGAGAAGGCCCCTTAATTTATAGATATTTACCCTAAGCTTGGAGAACGATGCTTAGTTGGCTCCTTGCAAAACCTATATTTTGAAAGGCATTTGTCATAAACTCATAGAACAATTTCTAGTTAGATCTGATCATCTTGGTGAAGCACCATGATAACGAAACTTAGAGTACAAAATCAACTTTTACCTCTTCAAAACTAAGCATTTTCTTTTCCAATAAGCCAAATTTCTAAAGCAATAACATCATGATTATTGTTGTGCTTTTGCAATAATAAGGATGGACAATAAAGCAACAAGTAATTAATAGAAGCACCTTTCTGTACTAAACACACTATAAGAAGTAGAACCAATCTTATTGCATACTAATAATGAAATTTAAGTTATGTTTTTGTCGCTTTAGCCTTGCTTTGTAGTTAAAGAAATATATCTGTGATATGAACTATCATGGCTATCTTATTACTTTAAAAATAACTTGCTGATGCATTTGCACATAGTTTGTACTCAAAATATTGGAACTAGACCTTTAGTGCCCTTAAATATGGCTATTTGTTGTTGCTGTAAACTATGTATTGTGCAGTTCTCTCATTATAATTTGAGGCATTTTCATGTAAGTTTGTATTTGTTTCTAGACTCATATTGTAAACTTTTGTGATTGATGTCTAAGCTAAAACCTTTTGTAGGTATCTAGCAAAGATTCTGGTACCTGAAGGTTCAAATGATATACCTGTAGGACAAGCAATTGCAATAACGGTAAACTACTATTATTTACGAATTTCTTGTTCTGTTGAAGCTAGTAGAGATGGTTTTGACATTGCATTATGTAATTAAGATATCCTGAACTCATCTGTGGTTAACTGATAACACTTGAGAGCATGCTGCTTAACTCTTCAATTATTTTTCATGATATTTCTTTTGCGAAGGCTAAATTGTGAATAAGGTTTTCTTACGTGTCAAACACAATATTATGGGCTGTCAATCAATCAATCAATCAAAGCCTTGATCCCAAAAGTGGGGTCGGCTAACATGAACCAAATTTGATTATTCCGTGTATCGACATAAACCTTCCTCCTCCATCTCTTACGGTCCAATGCTTCATCCTCATGCAAATCCATATACCTCATATCCTTCCTAACTCCTTCCAATCAAGTCATTTTCGGTCTCCCTCTCCCTTGTTTAAGTCCTCCACTCTTCCACTCTTCAAACCGGTGCACCCTCGGGTCTCCGTCTTACATGCCCAAACCAACGTAAGAGATTTTCTCTTAGTTTATCTGCAATGCCTGCCACACCTACTTTCTTACGAAGGCTAAATTGTGAATAAGAGTTTTCTTACGTGTCAAACACAATATTATGGACTGTGTATATGTATAATTAAGTGTAATAATCCATTTCATGATGTACTTGATATGATTTTAGTAAACAAGTATGTGATATAAACTAAATTGAATTGGTCTCCATGTTTCCTTATCTTGCTAATTTTGGTTATAGTTTTTTTGTTTAAATGTAGAGAACCACAATATAGTAAAAAAGCAGTTCAATAGGAAGCTTCAAACTATATGTGTGTATTCTGGCACAAAACGTTTTACTTTACCCATTCAAGTAAAATTTTGTAGTACACTAAAAAATAATAAGTGCAAGTATGTCGGAGGTGCTCAATAATATGAGAGTTTGAACATTGCTGATTTAGAATTCTGGGATTCTCAGTTGTGCAGCTTGTGCGAAATTTTGTATTTTTTGTGGATCCTTCCAGTGTAATTTCTTGCAATTTCTTTCTTATAAATTTCTAAAAAGAACTTACACCTCTGTATTCTACTTTCATTTTGATATGGAAGGTAATTCTATAAAGAGAGCATAATCATTAGTTTGCATTGTTGTAACACCAAGTCATCAAAAATCAACGTTACCCAATCCTACTAAAGAGGCTTGGGCAGGTTGGGGTAGTCAAGTGTATGGAGCCATGCCCTTGAAGTTTCATGACACCACAAATTAAAAGTTTCAACAATTATAATTTCTCAATAAATTAGTAGTTTAGACAATCTTGGGCCATTTTTGCTTTGACATGCTATAAACTAATGTCATATAATATCCGATGTTATTTTCCAGCTCTCCCACCTTGCGTAAACTTGAATGCCTTGAACAACTTGTAGGTTATGGGGCCTTCTTAGGTTATCATCCTAAACTGTGTTGTGTGATTTTATGTATTTAGAGACATACGCATTCATTTTTGTATAGTAGGGTACTAGGGTTTTCCGTTACTTGCGAGAAAACCTATTAGGTGTTTAAGAGATTTTTGAGTATCTCTCTAATGTTCTCTAACACCTTCCAATTAGATATAAGATTATAGCTGCAAAAAGAAGCCAGGAAATGGGGCTTTTGGAGATGTGTCGTTATGGGGTTATTGTTTGTAATTCAGTTGAAAAGAATACATGCATTGTGGTGCTGTTCTTGGGGATATATCCTGCATTAGGTTCTTTTCTTTGGGGTTATTTGGTCTGCCCTTATCCTGGCTAGCATACAACAGACATAAAAATTAACAGCTGGGCCAGCAATTACCGAGAATTATTTTTGTTGAGGTAGGGCTTGGAGGTGTCTTGAAACCTCTTGATGTACATCTTTTTTTCTTTCATTGGACAGATGTACGCAGCTTTGCCTTTGTAGTCAAAGGCTTATTGATTCAATAAGTCCATTTTCCCGTTGAAAAACATTTGTTTATCTGTAACAAAGCATTATGTAAATGTTGCTAGCAAGTTTATAAAATATGTTAAGACATCAGATTGGATTACAGTAAGAGTAATAGTAATTGTATTTTATGTGTGATCAAGGTCATGTCAACTACAGGATGAATGATCATGAATTATTCATAAAAAAGTTTACACGACTCAATAATTCCCTGTACTTGTGTTATCGTCGATCGAATGCAATTTTGTTCAAACTAGAGATCGCTTAGATTCCATTGGTAATGCAGATTTGTAATAATCATATCATACATCAATCAGTAATCTATAAAAGAGAGATTCAACTTCTCAAAGAATAACAGTAGTAGGAATTACAAAATAGTGAAATACTGAAAGAGTTGTGAGACACGTCTATAACACCTGAAGGTTGAACTTACATATTCTGCATGCATATTTGATCATCGTAACATTTATAAAAGGCACATTCTACTCTTTGAAGGTCGAGGACCCTGATAATATAACAAAAGTTCCTGCTATTAGTGGTGGGTCAGAAGTTAAAGAGGCAAATGCAGCTCCACAAGATGTTGCATCTCAAGATAAAGAGTTGGAAACCAGTGCTGTTAAGATTGACACCTCAGAGCTCCCTGCTCACGCTGTTCTTGATATGCCAGCACTATCGCCAACAATGGTAAGAATTTATGATACAGATTAGGGCTACTACCTTCATGTCTGTCTTTTTTAAAATAAATTTTATTCAGTGCTAGCTTTCTTGCCTATCTTGCATCTATTTCTGACTTTTGGTTGTTTGGTATTTGTTATATTTCTGTGTTAGAACCAAGGAAATATTGCAAAATGGATTAAGAAAGAAGGGGACAAGGTTAGTTTTTGTAGACCATAGTTTTTAGCCAATGTTGCTATTGACTTATCTCTTTAATTAGTTGAAATGAATTTGCAGATAGAAGTCGGTGATATTCTATGTGAAATAGAAACAGACAAAGCTACTCTTGAGTATGAAAGTCTTGAAGAGGGGTAATTATTTAATTTAAACTCTGAAAAAAGCTATCCACTTTGTGCACCCATATTTTGGCTAATATGTTATGTTCCAGTGGTTATATTAATCCATTAATAGTAATTATGTCATGTTAGTGACATTGCACTCTGTGATTTAGTCAATTGTATTGGATAAAATGTTGTTGATAGAACATGGCTTGTATACCAAAATGAAACTGGAAGCTTGATATTAGAATTTATTTGTATTAGATGCATGCGAGAAAGGTAACAGTTAAGGTTTTATTTACTAGACATATGGCTAAAGCATTGTGTTTCTATTTATACTTGATGTTCGAATTGCAAAAGAAAAATGTTTCACCACCATTATTGTAAAGCAATGCCCCCAAATTGAGGATGAAGAATTGGGGTTAATGTGTAAAGGCATCAACCAAGAACTTGATGGTGCTCTCTAATTTACTTTGAAAGAAAGGGGAGCTTCTCAGTGAAATACTTAGATTTCATATGACATAGAACACCGTGTACAAATTACTAAGCAAACTAGAAATGGCAATTTATAGCTTACAGTTTCAGCTACATTATCCCTAGGCATCTTCCTTTCCTTTTCCTTTTGAAATGTGTATATACATTACCCTCTTGCTAAGGAGTTTATCTCGTGAATCAACACCTAGGCTACGGATTGAAAAATTACAAAATTTCTAGACTCGTGTGTTTATGTGGGAATGTGTGAAGTACAAAATACTTCCTCTGTTTATCTTAATTACAATGTTCCAACTTTTACATTTATTACACAACATGTTTTGTTTATCTATGATGATTTATACTTGAGTAAAGAACTATAGATAGTCATGTAGGATCTTGAACAATTCATTATTGTACAATACTTCTATAGTTTTATTAGGTACTTGTTAGTAATTAAAGTTATCAATGGTCGAAGTAATACAATGGCAAGCGTGAATATAGAACATTACAATTAGAAAACAATCGGTGGGAGTACTAAAATATTGCAGGCAACCAACTTAATGCAAAGGACAAAAACAACCTTGTACAACGATCAATATTTGATCTTCCATGAAGTTTATGTTTTATCTAGTGACTAATTTAACTCTTTTCATATACACAGTGTGGGGCTAGTTTGTGTTTGTTGTGAGTTTTCATTTGGCAAGCGATTTGAGAACAACAAAATTTTGTTATCAGAAGTAGTAGCGTCTAGTTTATTTGTTGTCAGTACAAGTTTAAGACGATGAGAAAATTTATACTCATTATGCAACTTGTGTCTTAAATTTTTGTTCCTTGCTTTTGAACTTGCATGCTACTGAATCTTTGTGTCTAATGTGTATCATTGTAATGTATTGTGTGCTACTTTAGCCTTTCTTTTCCTTTTTTTTTTCCCAAAATTTTCAAAGGATTTTTTTTTTGGTAACATCTAGGAAAAAACTAAATTGTCTTTTATCATCCAAACAGATAAAAGTGTTATTTTACCTCAAAAAATAAAGTTTGATTTTGCCACCACTTAATGATTCCATCCATGAATCCGTTAGTGGGGCTCATCCCCTTCTATATCCTCTTTCATCTTCACGATTCTCTGACTCTCCTCAACCTTCACCTCCATTCGTACATTTACTTTAACCTCTAAATTTTACTCCATTTTAATATAAAACATCTTGTTTTTCAATGTCTTTCTCTTAGTTTTGATTTGTCATGCTTCATTTCACAAGAGAAATATATGGTTATGGTTAGAACCATATCCCTCGTACTTCCCTTATCCTCCATATTCCTTTTGATTCTACATTTCGCCATCATTTATTCAATCCTCCTCTTTCCATTCCTTTCCCTCTTTAACTCTTCAACAAATTTTACCTATTCTTCTTCAACACCTTGTCAAAACTTAACATTATTAAAACCAAATACCAGCACAATTTTATGCCTTTTTTTTTAATTATCTGGTAATAATAATCAAGAGAGAAAGAAGATTTTTATCGAGGTATTTCAAATTTTGGTTTTTTATTTTTATTTTTATTTTTATTTGCTTAAATTAAAATAGAGGCATTCAAATAGAGATTAAATGAGGTTTGTTTAAGTAGTTAAGGGGCAATAGCTCATTGACAATTGAATTAGTGTATAAATATGCTTGATTGGATCAAATTGCTTAACATCAAGAAATTCCCTATTTTCTATTGAACATGAACCCTAATTTTGTTTTTGAAAATTTGGTGGTTAATAAATTAATAAAAAGCATGCTTGGTGTTTGAATTCTTCAGCAAAATAACGTCCTCAATCAATTTTAGTGTGCTAATTTGCATGTTTGCTTATTTATTGTTAAATAAATAAAGAAAAAAATAATCACTCCATGGTTTGAAACTGCATTGTTATTGCTGGAAAAAGCTAACAAAAATAGGAGCGAAACTGATTTTAGTATATGAATTGAGGTGAAAGAGGTATATATATATATATATATATATATATATATATATATATATATATATATATATATATATATATATATATATGTGAGAATCATTTCTTATGTGAGAACACTCTGTGTGTTCTAAATTTTAAATCTAATGTTCTAATTATTTACTCAAGTGTTCTAATTAAGTAAGATGCTCTAAATTAGTACTAACATGTTCTAAACAATAAATTAGTTAAGTTAAATTTTACAAATATTTTAAATAACTTGTTCTAAAATTTTAACTTAAATGTTCTAAATTGTAAAACATGTATTCTAAGATTTTTAATCATATGTTCTAGAATTTAAGTAAATGTTCTAATTTTTACTCACATTTTCTATATTTTATATCAAGTGTTCTAAATTTTTATTCACATGTCCTAAATCTTAAATGAAATGCCCTAAATTTTACTCATAAGTATGTTCCAAATTTCATAAAATAGATTTTTTAAGTTTTTACATATATTCTAATTCTTAAATCAAATGCTCTAAATTATTACTCACACAGATGTTCTAAATTTTCTCGTATGTTTTAAATTTTTACTCACATGTTCTAAATTTTAGGTCATTTCTCTTATTCTTAAATCAGATGTTCTAATTAATTTGAGTCACATGTTCTAAATTTTTACTCGTATGTTTTAAACTTTTACTCACATGTTCTAAATTTTAGTTCATTTCTCATATAAGTTTGGGTTCTCTCACATATGGACCTATTCTCATTGGATCCGTCCCCTATATATATATGTAAAAATGAAACTGGAATAAGAATAAAATGTTAAATGGTGGGCCCACTAACGGATTCATGGACAAAATATGTTAAGAGACAATTTGGTTTTTATTTTTCCTTTGTGTGTGTGTGTGTGATGGGTGGGGGGGGGGGGGGGGAGGGGGAGAGGAGTCTAAAAATCCTTTTTTTAAAGGAATTTTATTTGAATTGCTTCTTGCAAGCCCGCTGGGAATTAGCTCCATATCATTTCATATCGCCCCTCTATACAAGAGCCTTAATGCCTTTCTATGTATCTGTTTTTGGGCTTGTAAATTTCATGTAAGACAGGATTACTTCTTTTCGAGCAGCCAAAAGGATCTTTATAGAAGGTGGCCAGTGGTCTTTCTTGTAACATGTTAGCACAAACCTTTATCCCAATTTTACGTGACATCTTTACTGAGAATCTCAACCCTTAATACGCATTTGCTACAAGCCATGAACTGAAGAGGCTGTTTGTTGCTGAGAGTTATTTCCTGTGTTAAATTGGATTCACATTTATGGTCACTGCAATACGCCAATACTTGAAATACTCTATTTGTACCTTGTCTCAGTTTGCCCCTTCTATCACCATGGTATAAACTTGCACCTGTGTTATTATTGTTTCTGAGACCATTAATCTAAAGGAAAGCCTGTTTGGATGTTGTGTAACCAATTATTGTTTACTCTTATTTGTCACCGTATTAAATGTCCTGTTGAAGCAAAGTTATGATCAACCTGGGATCTTGTGACTAACTGGAGCCTTAACTTAAACAAATAGCCTAATGCCAGACTTAATATGTGCTATTCACTTGCTTTTTTATTTATAATTTCCTGAAGGGTGCTGAAATGCCTAGAAGTTGCAGTACATTTTTGTGACTTATGTGGTTCCTGAATTGATGCAGGTATCTTGCAGTAATTTTGGCACCTGATTGTTCAAAAGATGTCATTGTGGGTCAACCAATTGCAGTAACTGTATGTTATTCAAGTGCATACCTCTCCCCCCCCCTTCTCTCTCTCTCTCTCTCTCTCTCTCTCTCTCTCTCTCTCTCTTTCTCTCTCTCTCTCTCTCGTGGGGCTCTCTCTTGGGGGTGGGTAGGAAGTGGAGCTAGAGGTTTAGATTCAAAGTTATTTTACTAGCCCCACCTTGATTGTTACCTTTGCTCTTGTTTTATATATACATTGCTTAGTATTATTTATCAACTTGGGACTTTTTCCATTGCTAGGTGGAGGCCTCAGAGGATATTGAAACCGTAAAGGCATCATACAGCTCTCGCCCTGTAGCAAAAGAAGAGAAGTCAGTAGCTCTACCACAGAAAAATGAACTTAAAGAGCAGAAAAGCATCATTAACAGAATTAGTCCGTCTGCAAAGTTGCTGATTTCAGAGTTTGGTCTTGATGTGTCATTGCTTAATCCATCAGGGCCTCGTGGTACCTTGTTAAAGGGAGATGTTTTGGCTGCACTACAGTCAGGGAAGGGGTCATCTACTACTGCTGCACCAAAGGAGCAATCCCCATCACCGTCAATTCTGCAAAGTAAACCTTCTAGTGCACCGGAGTCCGCTTTGTATGAAGATTTTTCAAATAGCCAAATTCGGAAGGTGGTTACCCTATCCAATTTATGGACAACTGTCTAAATTTTAATGTTTTCATATGGAGAAAGTTTAAATTTTCCATCATATTCTCTTGACAGCCTTAGATTATGCTACTTCTGGCCTCAGCAAAGGCATATTAAATGGTTGAACTACTAGGTTTGTGAAGTGTACAACCTGATATGTCTAATGTGAGATTGTTGATTTGTTGGCAGTTTATTTTTCTATTTTCTGTACCATGTAGATATGTGTACTATTTTATTTGATATTTGCTCTGCATATCTGATGCATTTCATGTCTATATCAATATTACATGTTATGGTTCAGGTTTTAGTATCTACTAGTTTGATAGAGGAGGAAAAGTTCATCATCTTAATGTCCAAGTCATATCATTTTGTTATCAATATTTATGTCATGCTTGTTTCCAAATTTTATTCTCTTTGCAGTAGGAGATTTTTCATATATTCTGAGTACATCTTGCCTTCTTGGTATCTATCATTTACAGGTTATTGCAAAACGTTTGTTGGAATCAAAACAAAGTACACCACATCTTTACCTATCTACAGGTTTGAAATTTTCAAATTTTCTCTCTTATTGTCATGCCCCTTTTTTTCCACGACCTCTTTTTATTTATTATTTAATGTGATGATTATTGTTGTCTTGGCAGATGTTATACTAGATCCTCTGATGTCATTCAGGAAGGAACTTATAGGTATTGGGCCTCCTTATTTGGTACTTTTGTTGCATCATTACATTTAAGCTTACCAACGCCTTTTTTGTGTATTCAGAAAAGCATAATGTCAAGGTATCAGTAAATGACATTGTCATCAAAGCTGTTGCTATTGCTTTGCGCAATGTGCCAGATGCGAATGGTAAGTATTTTTTAAAGTTATTGTATAATTGATCAGTATTTATAACCATTTTTCTAATGCAGTGTTGAACTTGTTCTGATTTGGTATAGAAAAAACTGCTTGAAGTTGTCAATGCTGTACATTTGGTGGTTTTGTGTGATTCTGATTTAGTCTTCTTGTAGGCTTTTGGGATGCTGAGAAGGGTGAAACTATCATCAATGATTCTGTTGATATATCAATTGCAGTGGCTACTGAGAAGGTTTCTTTTGTTGGTTCAATTTTTTTCTTTAAAGCTCTATGCACCATCTTTCCTAAACATGATTTTCCTTGATTGCAGGGACTGATGACTCCTATTATAAGGAATGCTGACCAGAAGACCATATCTGCAATATCGTCAGAGGTAAGGTATCAGCAAAGGCTGATGCAGTGGCGGAGCCAGGAATTTTGAATCGGGGGGACAAATGAATATTACATATTGTTTTACGAAAATGTTCGGGGAAAAAATCAATACTTGAAAACACTGAAAGTTCAATAGCTAAAGTTTTACAAATCAAAAAATCCAAAATACAAAAAACTGGGTAAAAAATCTAACATCATATACCAAAATTTCCTCATGAAATCTTTGTTTATGGGTTGGGAATTTTCGAAAATTCAAACACTGGATAATCTAACAAATTAAATGCAATTAGCATAAATAATAATATCTCTTTCTTTCAAAAAGCGTAAAAGCATAAATAGTAATATCCTATTACAGCCAAGGTTTTGTTCATGAAAAATTACAGTTATATTAATTAATTTTTTTTTTATTTTTTTTTTGTAATAAAACGTGGGAAAATGACATGCTATAATTTAAATAAGTATATGTAGCAACTGTTAATAAATAATGGAAGGAAAACTGCACTTAATAATTTTTTTTTTAAACAAAAGATTGCAAAACATCACAAATTCACAGCAAAGAAGAAAATTGGAAGGAATACTACACTTTTTTTTTATAAAAAAAAAAAATTAAAAGATTGCAAAACAGCACAACAAGGTTCGAACTTGTACCTCTAGTAAATAAGCCCACTCTTCTAACCACTACACTATCTCATTTGGCTAATACAACATTGCACAAAATTATGTATTTAACCTGACATTTTTTTGGGAAAGTGGGGGGACAGGTGTCCCCCCTTGTCCCATGCTGGCTCCACCAGTGCGGCTGATGCTCTTTGTTTAGCTTGTTAATTTATTAATATTAGATTACATGTACTGAAAGACAGAAATCCAAATATCTGTTATCCATGTTATGTCAATGGGTAAATATTTAGTTATGGGATGACTAACCCAAATGGCTACAATAGAAAATCCAATATGCATAAGTTGTCAATGGGTATATTTGAATTATCGATAACTAAGCCAAATGGTAAATATAAAAGGAAATCCAATATAATTTTGGGCTGACTAACCCAAATGGTATCTACAAACCTTTTACTACAAAAGGAAATCCAATGTGCATAATATGCATATACTTTTTGTTATTAGTTTTGAATAAATATGATCTTATACCAAACTAATACGTGAGTATCCTAAAACAAATGCTGATGGTAGGTTAAAGAATTGGCTGAAAAGGCTAGGGCCGGAAAGTTGAAACCCAATGAGTTTCAAGGTGGAACATTCAGGTTTGTGTTTCACACAAGTTTATAGTCTCTTAATTCAACATACTTAAAGTTGAACTTTCAGAACTGAAATCACTCCAACGTTTCTTGTAATGCTATTGCAGCATCTCAAATCTAGGAATGTTCCCAGTGGACAACTTCTGCGCAATTATTAACCCTCCGCAGGTAAGTGGAAAACAGTTTGAATAAAAATTGATCTAGTATGCTTTTACTGTTGAATGATTACATGAGGCACATAAATTGTCACTGTTTCTTACTAGTAGTTAACTTTGGTTTACCTTGTTTTGTCTCGTTTTTGTAGGCTGGGATTCTTGCAGTTGGGCGAGGGAACAAGGTTGTTGAACCTGTGGTTGGAAGTAATGGTGTGTTATCGCTTTTATGTTTAATCACTTTTGATCAATTGTTTCTTCTGCTGCAAATTTCATCATAATTTTACTCATATTCAGGAATTGAAGAACCTGCTGTTGTTACAAAAATGAACTTGACACTATCTGCTGATCATCGTGTTTTTGATGGAAAAGTTGGAGGTGAGGGAATTCACAATTTCCAGTCTCATATGCTTATTTTTTATCCTTAATATTCTTGGTATATGGGACCATGTACATGCTATAATCTTTCATTTGGTGAATGTATAAAAAATAAAAATAGTGAAGGTTTTAGCTATGATTGTGATTGTATAGCGCACTTAAAAATTCTTTTGGCATCACTATGGTTTTTTTTTTTTTTTGGTTTTGTTTTTCAAAATCATATACTACCTCCGGTCCGAATTACTCGCAACTTTGGGGTATTATTTGTGAGATATAAAATATTCCAAAGTTGCGAGTAATTTGGACCGGAGGTAGTAATATGTCATATAATGAATAAAAAATTAGTCAAACTTATTGAAACAGTACGAGTAATAATTTTGAAAACTGACAAAAAAAGTGGAAGCACCTTTTATGTTTCCTGTTTTTGGTTTTTTTTTTTTAAATAAAAATTGATGCCAAACAAGCCCTATGTGCTCTTGTATATGTTGTGCTTCACTAATTTTTTCACCTTTTGCTTGTATTCCTTTCAGGGGAATTCCTCACAGCTTTACAAGCGAACTTTGGTGATATGAGAAGGTTGCTTTTGTAATAAGAGATACCTCTAATACCAAATTCTCCCACATACAAATAACACAGATGTGATTATTGTTAATTTCATCAACAATATCTAATTGACAGGAAGGTCCAACTCACAATTTTGGTTTGAATTTTTTTTTTTTTTTGGTCATGGAAATCCTTCATTGAGGTTGTATTAAATTTATCAGGGAACAAATGTGCACAAGAGCTTGGAACATTTTGTTTCGATACATCATTAATTAAATAAATTAGCATCTTTTTCAAAGGCGAAATATGTAATTGTGTGATCTTTTCATGTGCATCAATGCATACTTTACTAGTTTGTAAATCAAGAATATAGTTAGTTCAGTGCACCATATTCTCAAGGGTCGTAGTCCTTTGGCTTGTATCTATTGTTGCATTCCACTTCGAAAGTCTGCTGGTCACCCGTCTACTCTTGGCAATTTAATTTTGCTTGTTTTATGCTTGGAATGGAAAATTTATGAAAGGCTCTCATAAGTGTAAAAGGCTAGGGGTACACTAAGTGTACAAGATTCTTTTTGTACACCACCAATCAAAAAACGCCAACTCAGCAATGTATTTATGGAAACAAAAAAAAGAAGAGGGAAAGTTGGGCGGTAAAGATTTCATGTTGGGCGCCTAACTCATGAAGGTGGGCGGCAAAGTTTTGTGTGGGCGGCAACAATTAATGTCTCGATTAATGGGTAATACACCATTAATTTCCCAATTAAGGAAAGAGATTTCCCTTCTGCTGCCCCATGAATTCATCTTTTCCCCCAAAATTTGGTGGCGAAGAACACAACCAATTTGATTAAGGGAACGAATTGTGAAGAAATTATTCAAGTGTTCGTATCAATTTCGTCAATCAATTACAAGTATTTGCAGGTAATCTTGTTAGTTGTTGAATTAATTCGTTTAAAATTCCTAATTTGATTTTTATGATAAATTAGGGTTTAATATAAATGGACATGATTCTCAGAATGATGATGTTGAGATTAATAACAATGGCAATGAAGAGGCTAATGTGGAGGTTAATGACCAGAGAAGTGGACATGATTCTGAGAATGAAGATGATGAGTTTAATATCATTGGCAATGAAGAGGTTGATGATGAGGTTAATAACATTAGAAATGGACATGATTTTCAGAATGGTTCAAACGGTGAAGAACAACAAAGTCGTATTCCAGCTGTGGGTATGAATTTTGCAAGCGGTGAAGAATTTACAAGGTTTTGCCATATGTATGCCTTTGAGAAAGGGTTTGAATATTTTGTTCGAACATGTATAATAATGGATGAGTATCGTGAAAAAGGAGTACATCATCGAGGTGTTGGGGACAAGGAGCCTAAAGACTACATGATGTCTCGTATTAGACTGTTGTGCAAGATGGGTACGAAAGATAGGAGGAAAAAGAAAACTGGAAGGAAGATATCAAGTCCTCCTCCAGGGTGTAAGGTTTTGGTTGAGGCACGTTTGTCAGTTGATGGTAGGATATATATTAAGAATTGTGAGCTGTCCCATAATCATGACCTATTTCCAAATGATAGCCGGCTTATGGTGAACTATCGGGGCATTGATGATGGTGCTTATGAGAACATGGTTTTAAACGACTCAGCGGGAATTTCAATGACCAAAAGCTTCAACTCTATTGTTATTGCAAGAGGAGGACAACAAAATGTAACTGTTAACAAGAGCGATTTGAGGAATGCGGTAAACATTGTTCGGCGACGTGTCATATTTGGTGGGGATGCTGACGCTGTACAAGAACATTTTGAAAAAAACGGCATAAGCAAATTCTGAATTTTATAGTGCAATCAAAACAGATGGAGATGGCAAACTTTTGAATGTTTTCTAGGCTGATACAAGGGCGCGTGCGCAGTACAAAGACTTTGGAGACATTGTTTCGTTTGATACAACATTTTTGACAAACAAGTAAGAGTTGCCTCCACTAGATTTGTTTCGTTTTTTGTATGATTTAAATTGGTTAATACAACTGTTAGGATTAGTCAAATTTATTAAACAGTCAAACTAATTAAAGAGTCGTTTTATAATTTACAGAATCTGGTTATTAATTAAAACATCTGATCTTGTTTATAAATTAATACTACCGTACTGCTAGGAGTTGTGTTTATACATTATTGAAAGCATTAAGTTAATATTTTATTGAATCTGTTTTTAATTTAAAGCATCGTGTTTAATTATTATGTAAAGTATATAATTAAAACATATGACCTTGTTCAGGTCCTTCAGAGTTGTTTTATAATTTACATAATCTGGTTATGAATTAAAATATCTTGTGTATAAATTAAATAACCGTACTGCCAGGATTTGTGTGTATACATTATTAAAATGATTAGGTTAATAATTTATAGGATATGTTTATAATTTAAAGCATCATTTTGAATTATTTTGTATGTTAATGAATAAAAATATATTACCTTGTTCAGGTACCAAATGCCATTTGCTCCTTTTGTTGGCTGCAATCATCATGGGTCGTCCATCATTTTAGGTGCAGCCTTAGTTTCTAATGAAAATTTAGAAACATTTGAGTGGGTTTTTAATCAATGGCTGCAGTGTATGGGGAAGCCGCCAAAAGGCATCATCACCGACCAGTGTAAAGCTATCGGTAAGGCGGTTAAGAAGGTATTTCGTGATGTGCCACACTGACTTTGTATATGGCACATTCTGCAGATTGCTCACAGGAACCTAGGAAAATTAGAGAAATTTATCGAGATACAAGCTGATTTGAAAGTTGTCGTGCATGATTCGCTGTTTATAGAAGAATTTGAGGATTCTTGGAAACATATGGTGACAAAATATCGGTTGCAAAACAACGATTGGATCAATGACACATTCGAGAATAGGGAACATTGGGCCCCAAGTTTTTGGAGGGGCAGTTTTTGGGCGGGGATGTCATCCACCCAACGGAGTGAAGGACAAAACCGATGCATTAAAGGATACGTTAGTTTGAACACTGGACTGTTGCAATTCATGAATCAATTTGAACAAAGCAATAAAAAGAAAGTCAAAGATGAGAAGGATTTGAATTTCCAATCACACAGTAATCCTTTTGAATATGATAACACAATTCTTGCGGAGTGCGTATTTAGCAATGCGTACACCAATAAAAAATTTCTGGAGGTAAGGGATGAGGTGATAGGTCTAAGGCACACAAATGTGTTGAGGACAGAAAATGATGGGAATAAAGTTTTGTATGACGCAGAAGAGAAGATTCCTATTCCTGTGTGGAAAGCAAGGCGAAAATTGTTTAAGGTTTCTGTGGACAAAGATAATGAATTTTTATGCTTATGCAAACTATTTGAGTTTTGTGGAATACTTTGCAGACATCTTATCAGTGCCATTGAGAAAGAAGACATTGATTTTACTCCTTCGAAATACATTCTGGATCGTTGGAGGAAGAGTGTAGTACGGGGTTACGAAGGCATTAGTGTGTCATACTACGACCCTAATGATTCTATTAAGCTGAAAAAGCAGAACGAAATAAATGTCAGACATCAATACTTGTCATCGTTTGCCATGCACAGCGAGGTGACACTCTAATTGTATAAGGAAGCAACAAACAAAATTCGTGCTTGTAATACCCTAATATTTTAGTATCCTATCTATATATTTTATAAAGAAAATTTCGGTTTTTAAATTTTTACTTTCTCTCAAATTTACAAGTATGTTATTTTTCTAATTTAATTCTTTTAAGGAGGGTAGATTGTAATACCCGTATATTTTAAGATTTTACAAATTATAAAATTAGAGTTGTATACTTTAAATTTCATTTTCTTATCTTATTTGATAGTATTTATATCCTTTAACCATACATTATTATTTTATAAAAAAAAAAAAAAAAGAATGTCGTCATTTTTTTCTTTTGGCAATGCGTGAAACCAAACAAGATTTGATATTTTCTTCATAAGAAAATAAATTCATTCTCATGATCATATCTAATAATGTTTTATGATGTGATCAATAGAAAAGCCTATCTACTATATTAGGTTTGTAAAACTCAAAGCATACGAGAGTCATACATTAATGTCACCCGACTTTGTGCTATTGTCCAGAGGTAATCACACGAAACTTTGACATGTTTGATATTTCATATTATTATGTGTGATATAATTTATTATTTGCACTCTGTATTATTATTATGTGTAAATTTTATAATTGTAATTCGTGTGATCAAGTTCGTATATGTATATGATTGATTATTAGTATTATATGATTTGATTAGATATGAGTATCGTATTACTTTTATTGTTTATTATTGATTATGTTTTATTCTAGGGTTCTAATGTTGTTTTTATAGGGAGTATTGTTTTATTGAGGTTTTAGAGTTATTAATGCAGAGTATTATTTTTGGGTTGTAAGTTAATTATTTTTGAGTGCTAGTACTATTTTTCCCTAAGAGTTGAGATGTTTTTGAATCGAATTGTTGTATTATTTGGGAACTTGTGCCATTGTGGAGTTATTATTATTAAATTGTGAATTATTATTTGATCGATGTATGAGATCAAAAGGTTGAGAATTATTATTTTGTTCTTGGTTTGAGGCTCGACGTTATATACCTTAGTCCTTGGCATGTTGGTAAGAGGATGAATCATGAGTTAAGAATGAGGTACAATCTTTATTATTCATTTTTCTATGGTCCCCTACAGTGGGAATTGACCCGTATGTGGTCTGGTTTAAGGTGTTTTCTGGTTATTGAGAGTATTCAAGTTTTTATGCTTGTTGGTTTTATTCGAATTACCCATGTCCAAGGCTAGGTATAGTAAAACGAGCATGGAACACTTATGGGATATATTGAGTAAAGGTTCGTATTATTATTCGAGGTTGAATCGATGAAGGTTATATTCAGAGTACAATGTGTAATGTAGTTTCGAACTACATTGTTTAATTGATCTAGTAATTTTAATTATTATATTATTCTTTGTATTCTGATATGTGATGATTACTCAACTTCTTGCTGACGTGTGTGTTATTTTGTTCTGTTACTTGTGTTTGCGGCCATGTTTTTTTTTTCTTATGGTAGCCCTGCGACGATCTATTTTGAAATTTGTCCTTAATGGTGAGCAGTCAAGTTTGTATAAGCAGGTTTGATCAAGTGATCGTAGCTAAAGGGAGCTTAAGTGATCGATTAGTATGCTATAAAGAGTTCGTAAAGTTGTAAATAGCTCACCTAGATTTATTGGGATTTGTAAGCCTTAACACTTGACAGGTTGTTGAGTGTCGCAGTAATACCTTCGATTTAGGAGTATACTTCCGCAATTTTATTTAAAGGTTGTTTATTTTTCCTTTAATTCTTATTTATTTTCAGTTAGTAAATCGGGGGTGTTATAGTGCTACTCTTGAAGCTGTAATTGGTATTCGATCAACAAATGGTGTACAAGACTGGTCAGACCCTTCAATGAACAGGGTGTTTGGCCGGCACAGGCTCAGGCCGAAGGAGCTAAACCAACAAAATCTTCAACAGAATGCAAAACCCCCCGAAGAAAGGAACATCAAGGATCCTGTAGTCAAAAGAGGTTCAGGAAGGGCACAGACTACAAGGAACAAACACCCATCAGAGGAAGGGAGTAAGAAAAGGAAGATGAAGAACATCCAGGTACAATTTTTTTGTTGTTTATGAGTCAGATGGTTTGAAATACACGTACTAAGGTTTTTTTTTTTTTTTTTTTTTTTTTTTTTATTACTGGTATCATTAAGAACTTATTTTTTCAAAAAATGCCTATGTTGTAGGAACCTGATGATGAAGGTGAGGATGATGATCCTTTTCACAATGGTATATTTGTTGATACAAACCAGATGTATGGAGTAAATTCGCAGCAGCATAATGGTAATATGAGCTCTGTTTACGGTGCTCAAGTTCAGTATGGTTATGTTGACCCTCGAGGGTTTTACCAGTACAACTCATATGGTGGGCTAAATCAAGGCCTAGTTGGATAACTATTTCAACATCCTGGAACACATATGAACCTCAGTAGTTTTGGCAGCGGCGTTCCCAGACAAGCTGGCATGAATTCTCAGAATACTACTCAACAATCGAATGTCAATCCCCACATCCATCCATTGTTTCTGGGTCGAATTCCTAAGTGATGTGTTGTTTTTGAATCAGTAATCGAATTTGTACTTCTGATCCTATTAATACTCTTTTGATGTTATTTTAACGTGGAAAATACTTTTTAATTGAATATGATGCTCTTAGATGTGTAAAAAAGATTTTGGTATTGTGGTGGGGTTCTCAGATTTTCAGACTTACACAAGTTACACCTCGAGATGTTTAAATTACGTGTAGTGACATAACATTGATATTTAAAAGTACTAATAATGGAATGTAGGAAAATAAAATGTTTTATAGGTAATCAAGAGTGAATTTGTGTTGATTATTATTAGTATATTTAAATAAGTATTTTAAATTATAAATAAATCAAACAATCAAAAACATGGTGTAGTCAGGAATTGAACTTGGCTCAATTGTGACTAGTAAGGACATATGACCAACCACACCAGAGGGTATCAACACACATTTCATAATATTACTTATCAATTTGTACCATATTATTGCATCTATAAAAGTAGGGGGTGATTTTACTATATATAATATGACTCCTTAAATGTTAAAAGGATGTTTATTTACGTTTGGGATCAAAATTGACATTGAGTGAATTTGTCATTTTCAAGAACTCTTACTATTTCATTGCATCATTTTGTAATTGTTACAGTCGAATTAATTTTTTAATTTTATCAAATAATTTTTAAATTTCACAAAATTTTGTAACGGTTGCATATTGATGTGAAATTATGACCATTATTATTTTGAATGGGAAATGACATCTCCAGTTATTATGTTGGTCGGGTTTGGTTAGCAAACATAATTTTGATGTTGATGTCAAATCAATGTCTTTGTTATATAAGTTTCAATATGATCTAGTTTATATTAAAATGATTCTCTTTAATACATAATGATCATTACTGCTTCATAGAATTAGGCTTAGGGTTTAGGGTATAAGGTTTACGATTTACGGTTTAGGGTTTAGGGTTTAAGGTTTAGGGTTTACGGTTTAGGGTTACATTACTATTATTTACTAACAACAATAAATAACCATAGTTTATGTAAACCTTTTGTTCTATGATTTGCATCGCTTTCTAAACAGATCATTTTACAGAGGTGTCAGTTGCTTTTATAGAGATTGTAATAATTTCTTCGATCTGATTATTAAAATAGTGTAATGTTTATTTATATTAAAATTAAGTTGTTTGTCATTCCCTATGTCAATATAAATCTAACAATTTATGTTTTATTAGGGAATTCAAAAATTTATGTGAGAGGTACCCATTCGGTTTTCGGTTTGGATTTACTCCAAATACGAAATATCATTTGGTTTTCAATTTTGAAATCCTATCTTATCCGAATTTATCTTTTGATCCAATCAGTTCGAATCGGAATTAATATCAGATTATTCTAATCCTATAAGAAATCTGAATTATATAAACTTTTAATATTAACAAACGGATTCAAAATCATGATTGAAATAAATAGTTAAGCGTAAAATCATTGATTTATTGTATGTAGTACTCCGTCCGTCTCTTTATGAATGTCCACTTTCTCGGTATTTTTCCAGTAATGAATGATAGAAAGTGGACATCACTAAAGAAACGGCGGGAGTACTGCATGTTTTTAGCTAAATTTGAGAGAACTTGTAAACTCATTAATATATTCAAGATTACTTTTGTAATTAGGTTTTCGTTTTGGAGTGGATCGAATCCGGGTAAGGTCGATCCAATCCGGAAATCCGAATTAAAGAAAAATCTAAATCCAATCCGATCCGGTTCGAAGTTTGTATCCGATTCGAATTGATAATTCGGTTTAATTTGAATTGGATTTCGTTTTTTTTACCCGAATATGTACACCCCTACTATATTTACTTTAATAACACGTATTAACAGAGACATAAATTGTAAATATATTGAATTCTTATACACAATCTTTGTTTTTTTTTCTATTAGAATTATACTTGTTAGGGAGAACCCGTGATATCTCCTGAATTTATTAAAATACAAGGATTTAAAGCCAAGCATAATTTAGTTTTTAATTCACTTAAGGTTAATTTCAGACCTAAATGATGTTTTATTAGAAAACCTACTTATAATCTTCCACTAAAAATACGTTTTATGGTAATTAAATTATAATCCTAGAATCGTTCCACTGTTTATAGCATCACATTAGTGAGATTGGTTTACATTCATGTGTGTGTTTAACCAAATATGGATCACATTCTCATTTTTTCCTATAACATTTAAGTCTGTTGTCCATTATTGTATGCGCTTTAACAATTAATAATATCCGTGTTTTAATTTAACATTTAGAATACATCAATATTCTAAACACGGAATCTTGTTATGTATTTAGAATATCATATTTGAATTTTTAGAAACATAAAGGACAATAAAAATGTATTAAAACAGAACACATTATTATTATCACTGCAAATTCTTGAAACAAAAAACCAACGTCACAAACAGTGCTTCCAGCTTAAGGCTATCATAGAAAACTTAAAACATAGGTACTTAAAATAAAACACAATTAAGTTAATTTAGTAAACCAAGATTGTACTGCCTTAGAGGCACAATTTTGTAAAATCGTCTTCCCCCGCAACAACTCTACCATCAACCAAATTGTCATTCGGTACAGGCCATGCATGTTGATGTTGTTGTGGATCGGTTTCCTTAAGCTTTTCCAAAGCCATATTACCCTTATTTTTTCAACCAGGACCCCAAGCTCTTCTCGTCTTTTTTCGGCTGCTTGTACTTGATTGCAAGCCTCAATTAAACGACCTTGCAAAAAAGATAAAGTGTGTTGCAAACCAACCATCCGACAATCGGATTTCGTAGTAGATGATGAAGAGCTACCTGGGTTTGCCATTTTAAAGGTTAATATAGCACAATTAATATTTTTAGGATTATGTTAAGAAGTTGAAGTAACTTTAAATAGAGGTTGTGAATTGCTTCACCTTACCCTTATGAGGAAGGTGCACGTCCCTTCACTGCCTTATAATTATTACTTTATTTAAAAAAAAACTACAAATACCATTATTAAATACACACCAACCTTTTACATTACCTTTTTTTTTATTTTATTTATTTTCTAACAAAAACTTTTCATATTATCCTTGAACACAGGAATTTGTAAATGTATAATTTTTTTTATTTAAAAAACAAACGGAAAATATATTGAAAAAACCACACTTTGTTGTTAAAAAGCAAAAAAAAAAATAATAATTCGAAAGGGAGAACAATGAAAGCAAGAATTCAACATACACAATACGACTACTGTATAATATTCAATGTTAACGATAGATATTAGACGCGTTAATAGTATGTGCATCATTTGATTTATTTTTTATTGTAGTATTTTACACTTTTTTAATAATCGTAGTTAAAGGATTTGGGATTTAAAAGAATCTTTTTCTTATTTAAGAAATCATTATTTAGTTAGATATATTTTCGACATATTAATCGTATAATTTTATAAAGAGGGACTTGTAATGATTATATGCATGAGCCAATTATGTCATAGAAGACTTATTTTGTCCCAATAATTGATTATACACATAACTTTTACTGAGCCATATTTTTTCGAAGCGTTTGACTAATGACTAAATCCGTTTTTATTTTGGTTATGTTTATTGTGTCAAAATTTATTTTGTAGAATAATTTTTGAATATACGGAATATGTCTATTCAACTCAAAATTATTTTAATGTAGTACTATGATCTTAAAACTGGAATACGGATTATTATTAAGGATGAAACTTGAAAAACAACAGAAAATGACTTGACAAAAGGAAAAGAAAAAAAAAACAAAAAAGGACTACTTAAACTAAGCGGCCTTTAAACTAACTAAAGAGAATGCAAACGCTTAACATCATATCATTGACATCGGCTAATTGGTGACCATCTTCAATCCTCGATAAACCAACGTCTTTCTGGCCATGTGTTGTAAACCCTACTCTTCCGCATTCCACCGTATGTGTTTTTGAGGTATCTGATCCCTCTTGATATTGCGCGTTACCTCATAGGAGTACTCTAGTTGCAAATTTCGCAATCCATTAATTCCTCAAAGCAACCGTGTTTGATCCCGCAAGTAGCTATGTTGACTCTTATAAGATCCTTGCAGCAAAATGACTCTAATTGAGTGTAGTCCACATCTTCATTGGCATTTATCCTTATACCTACAAGCTCATTGTATTTGGAGTTCAACGACATTAGATTTAGGAGGTAGAAGATTTCATAAATTTTTGGGTAGACATGGTTATAAAAATTGTTTCCCATGTACCAAATTTTTCGTGATCCGAGTAGTATGGCTCTTCTTGATTTGGAGATGTCGTGGTGTAAAAGGCAGTGCTTTAAAAAAAATATATGTATTGTGGACTTTTGGCAAGTGAAATGGATAGGTGTGGGTGATGGATGTGAAACAGCTATTTGTAGGGGGTGTCACTTTTGGAAGTTAAAAGGGTGTATTTTAAAAAAAAAAAATTATTTTATGTAAACCCCAAAATAACTTTTAAAATTATTTTAATGTAGACTTAATAAACTTTAAATTTTTAATTTGGAAACTTGAATAAATTACATTGTTAAATGGAAAGGTTGTTCGTTTTCCAATTATTATCATCCAGGAAATGTAAAAGGGTATTTATTAATGATGTTATCTAGACATGTCTTAAATTTATGTCTACGTTCAACTTCGTAATTCGTATGACTGTTAGTCTCTCAAAATTATTTTAACGTTTGTGACACTTTATAGTTCGACATGATACTGTAAAAAAAATCTAATTCTGGTGTTGTCCACAATTTGACTATGAACGGTTCTTTTTTTGTCATTAGTTAATAAATATTATTATGTTATTTTAAATTATATTAGCGAGGTGACGAAAATAAATCATTCTT